AAACTTCGAAAAAAAAAAAATAGAAACTAAAATTTTTGGTTAATAAAAGAATAGAATAAAAAATTTAAATCAAAGAAAAAAAGACGATAAAAGAAAAGAAAAAAAAAAAAAAAGCTTACCTAATGATGAATTTTAGACATTTTCATTCTTATAGCAATATGAAACATTCAATCGATGATTAAATAAAACGAATGCAAAACTGGTTCAAGAAAATTGGAATTGAAAAATTTTAAACATTTAAAAATTTGTCGGTGAAGTTCGCAGTTTTCCCAGAGTTTGAAAGGCCAGTAGGAAATGAAATTGTCTACCCACGTGCCTAACAAACCCAGGAAAGCATTATCGAACTTTTGATTAATTTTGAAAAAAAATTACAACTACCAATTCTATCCATTTCTAAAATTAAATTCTTGCAACGAAAATTATAATATTACATTGAAAAAAAAAAAAGAATTAAGCAAATAAGGATAAATTCTTGTTGTTACAAAATATTGCTAATTTTTTGTTCACTTTCAAATTATATGAATTAGCAAAAATTTTTAATTCCAAAAATTATACAATATATTTGTAAAATCAAAAAATATTACTAATCTATGAAATTTTTAACATACATAATTATATGAAATAATAGATAATATTATCATATCATATCATATCATATCATATCATAACATCTTCTTTTAGGATAAATATAAATAAAGAATAGATTGCAAATGAAAAATATTATCATTTTATTGAAGAAGCTAAGATGCCGAATAAAATGGTCTGATGATGATGATGATGATGATGGGGAGTATGGTTTTTGCAAATTGTTACATAGCAAAGAATGAAAAGTAGTTTTTTTAGTTTTTTTTTTTTTGTTTTCTATTTTTTTTTTTTATTTTGTGAAAACAATGTTGTTTGATAGCATTTTGTATCATTTTTAAGCTTTAAATTGAAAATGAAAGAGGACAGAAGAAGAAGAAGGAAGGAAGGAAGGAAAAGGCAAAATAATCCTTGAATTTTTAAATTGTAAATTATTTGTTCATCCTCGTCTTATAGTGAATTTGTAACTTTCTTTTTCTTTTTCTTTTCCTTTACTTTCTCTATTCTTTTCCACTTTTTTTCTTTTTAAAAAAGTTTTTCTTTAC